GATTTAAGTGATTAAATACTGTTGTTATTAATCTGTCTCCCTGTGTGAACACTATTAGGCAATCGGAATGGCTCTGGTGACTCTTTAACGTGCCTTTCCTAAGCTCTAGAAAACAGCTGAGTTCTGTTGAAGCAAACAGCCTGTGATGGGAAAGAGCGGTCACCAGTGTGTACAGTGGCTACTCAATGACGGGTTTGATCTTCCTGGCCAGGGGACAGCCTAACGCAGGGGGTCACGAACATTGGGCACCTCCGGGATGGAGGTGTTATATGTGAGAAAGGTATGAGAGTTGAGCGCTGATTACTGGAGGCCACCGGGGTCAGCAGAGCATTGAGAGGTGAGATGCGCTGTGACGAGTCACGGCGGTCTGACCCGGAAAATGTGAGTTTCCTCTACATACCACTCGCCAGAAGAAACCGCATTCATTGTATGGCTTGTTTTTCATTGTGACAAGTCTGCAAATATGCCAGGGGAAAACACCCTGATGGAGATTATAGATAAAGGGCTAACAGAAATGGGCTTTCAAGAGCCAGCTGAGGCCATGAAGTGATTCCCATTAGTTGTTGTGGAGACAGTAGCAAAACTTTTTATGTACTGGTTTGCCTTATGGGCAAGGAAAATCATAGTGTTGATTTTGAACTAATATGTTATAACATAGTTTTAACTCTTGAAGGTCGTTAGACATGGTGGTGGCTAAAGATGAAGACAGCTTTTGATTTAAGGAAAGTCTGGATGACAAAGGTGAATGGTCAAAGGTTATTGTAATGAATACAAATTTTGACTAAGTTACAGCCTTAGGAGGCTGGTGAAAAAATTATTTGTTTATAGTGAGAGAGACTGCCTGAGTTGGAGGAAGGGATGGTAACTGTGTCTGTCTTTCTGTTATCGGCCTGCTAGAGCAAGCTGAAGCAAAATAATGATAATGAAACAAAACAACCCAGCTGACTTGTCTAAAAATCAAATGAATAATGAACAGATGTAAAATTAGGTAGAAGCTACAGGAAAAATGAAAAGGTTAAAATCTTATTTAAAATTTAAATCTTTAAGCAATAATATAAAGAAAAGTGAACATTGAGAATGAGCAGTTAACATATGTGTGTCTAGAATGAGTGCGTGTGCTAGTGACCGCACTTTATGTCTTGTATGTATTAGTTTGGGGCACTAATATTCCACCTGAATGGTGTGTATATTGCGTCATTAACCTCTGGAATGAGTTTATCATTACAGATGGGTTAAGGCAAATGAAAAATTTTAAAGAAGCTGATAATTCTGATGAAAAGACAATACAGAACATGGGACAAGCTTTAAGTTGATTGGTCATCAAGCTCTGTCTGGTAGTAATACTTTTGTCATACATAATGTAGATTTGAAGATCAGTTTAAGTAAATTGGAATTGTGTAGTTGTAGATCACCAGCTGGCATGGGCTGAGATAAATGAAAATGTTGTAGATTTGAGGGAAACAACAAAGTGACATATTGGCTAAGTCAACATGAAATTATCAAGAGAGCCTCTCACATTTATGATTATTGTGAACAAAGGGGGAGAAATGATTGACTGACAATGACCAAGTCTGTACAGCACGACCTGACCTGATAGAAACAATTTATGACTTTGGAAATGTTTGTAGATGACTGACTTGAGAGACCAAACAACAGGCCTGAAAAGCGGGATTTGCTGTGAGACTCAGGGCCGTTGTCCTTCAAATACTGCGAGAAGATGATGAGATTGTGGCTTTAAGTGAAGAATGTAATATTTTTGTTTCAGAGACAGGGAAAGATGTCTGGAGGAAAATTTGGCTGAAGGACGCCGTTTGGGTTGGTGTTGATGGCAAATCAAATTAGTTTAAATTGATGCATGAGTTGATTAATGCATCAAGAGGGAGATGGTATAACAATTGCCAAATATGGTTTATTAAGGGGTTCACATTTGCTGAATAAATGTTGGGAGAACACTAGGGGTATTTGGATAAAAGCCCTGAAAGAAGCCATTTTTCTGCCTAACAAAATTTATGTCTGTGAGTGTGCTGCACACACCAATAACAAAGATTGTTTCAACAGGAAACGCCAGGGCATCGAAGGACACGGGAGAACAGTAGACAAAAGAAACTACGTACTTTACTATCTGACAATAACCTCGAAATTTGTTTCTCTTTACAGAGAGCATGCAGGATTGGGAGACAGGGCAAAATGTGCCCAATAAAATAATGGTTATGGATGAATTTGGCTAACTGTCCTGGCCTGGGTTATTATTGTGGAAGAAAGGTGCTACACCTGCGCAGCGCATAACTTAAAATTTTCCTTTTACAGAATGTCAGGATGGATTGCATCAAGCTGAACTGATTGTGTTTCCAAATGTATGAATATTGACTTGTTAACGTAAGCAAAGTGGATATGTGTTTTTCAGGGGAAAAGGACTGAGTGCTATTAAGTGAGCAAGAAATTATCCGGTGATAATGTTTCAGATTGTTGAATCCACAGGTCACACCAAAGGGGACGAGCGGCAAGACAAGCGGTCACTAACAAAATACTTAAGGTCTCCATTCACAGGTGACGGGAAGCAGGAAATGGTTCATTCCAGTGGGGGTGCGGTGGTGATCTCAGGAGATCAGTGTGTCACCTGGGTCCAAGCCTCTCACCTTAGACAACACCGACAGGCCACAACCATCCCATAGTCCATGGGGCGAACGAGATGATCAACACGCCTGGAGGAGGATGTGAACCAACTAATGGTTTAAGAATGTGGTTTTGTGATTATTTTGAGGATTTTATTTGATTAAATCAAAATAGGGCTTAGTATTGATATACACTAGATCAAAATATTTGATTGGTTACTTATTCATTAGGAAATATTTAAGGAAAATGTTTTTGGGAAGAGAAGATCTATTAATTAATGTAAATTATAGGGATAATTGTTGAAGCTTATTAAGTAGAACCACAGCATGTTTGAATTAAAAGTTAGAGGTAAAAGAAACAGAACGTCCGTGGGGCGAACGAGATGATCAACACAACTGATGGTTTAAGTTTAACAGAAGAATCTGTTTTTGTGATGATTTTGTTTGATTGAATCAAACTAGGTATTGATTTGATTGTAAATGTAGAAATATATTGATTGTGTCCGTTAATATTGAACAACTGCATTGGTTAGAAGAATGGATAAAATTATAAGACTTCTCTGGTTAGATTTTGTTAAATATGGCATTAAATAGAGCTTACTAAATTGAATTAGAAGTGAACAAAATATGGTTAGGAAAACCGAGGTGAAATATGAAGATGGGCGTAGATTAATGGAAAAGGCTTAATGATAGGGTTTAGGATTGTTATTCTAATAATTTTGTTATTCATGGGGGAATACGATTACAGTGACAGGTGAAACATGCTGTCTGTTCAATTGGTGAAAATGACAGTCTATCCCAAGGATGAACAAAATGATGTGACGATACATGTAGCGGGAGCTACAGTGAGATATGTGTTAAATGTATGTTCTGTTTGTTTTTCTTCTATTTGTTTATTTTCTGAGAAAGATTAAGGGCAAAAGATTTAAAGAGGGTTAAAAGCAGCGGTCATCCGTGTTACGAGATGGCGTACAAGGACAGGGGTTGGAACTGAGGGATTTTTTTATTATACTTTTATCTGTTTGTTTCCTTACTATGTTATAACTACCTTTTTCCTTACTGGCGTGACTGAGGGTCTGTTTACAGGAGCGCAGGAACAGAGATTTCTCGTTCAGCCCGGCGTCGTGAAAATATTTACTTGCTAGCTAAAATATTACGGGGCTTTCCCCCACAAAAACAGCCTTATGCTTCTTCATTCTAAACTTTTCTTCACAGGTTCAAGGAGAGTGATCATTTATGCAAAAAATCAGAGATGAAGAGTATAAGTGTGATGATATGACTTAAAATTTGTCTTATTGTTTATTGTTATGATTATGGGTAATCAGAATGATAAAAAGCGGGAATTTGTTGTGGAAATTTTAATAGTCATTGATCCCTAACAGATATCATAAGAGAGAGAACCTATTCAATGTGTAAAATATAGATGATTCAAAGAATGTCACATGTGTGTCTCTCACTTGTAGTGAGACAAGATTCTGTTTATGTACCTGGGGAAGCAGAAGGGGGAGACACTCCAGGGAGCAGACGAACAGGGACCTCTGACCTAGATGTCGGAAGGCCATTTGGTGCAGGGGGGCTTAGTCTATGGAAAACTACTGGGAGGAAGGCTCTGGGGGAAAGAAGGCCTTGAAACTTAGATAAAAGCTGGTTCAGTCTGTCTGGGGGGTGTCACTCTTCTGCACAGGGTAACAACTGTGTATTAGACTGCTCCTATTCTTGCAAGAATAAATACTTCTATTTTATAATTTGACTATGAGTGTCTCTTACGCAGTGATGTTTGTTTGAGATGAATTTTTGCCACAACAACGTGCCTAAAAAAAACATTACTGGTGTGCATCTTTTGACATATTTTAAAAGTCAGTACAAGTTGCTATAAGACAGCTCAAATATGCATTAGTCTGGGACTAGGCGTAAGCCTTGTCTGTGAAACCGGGGGAATGTGTTTATGTTGAATGATCCAGTGTTTAAAAGACTAATTTCTGTAGAGGGCATCTTTTATAAGCCTTATAAAAAGTAAAAGCTTATATTTTAGTCACAGCAACAATACAAAATGTGAGGAAAGAGGACTGATGTGGTCGTGGACCATCTGTCCCTCAACTACTTTATTTACAAGAATTGTCCATGTTTAGAAAAGTCTCAATGATGTGCCACATGTTTCCCATGCAAATGGAAGTTTGATGACTGGTGAAGTGGAAAATCCATGTTGGTTTTAATAAATAAACTCTGCTTTCTAACCCCAGGTTGCCAAAGTGACGACAAACTCACTTCAGGGTTCATAGCACTGGAAGTTTGATATCTGTTGTATATGGTCACTTTTTGAGAAATAAAAATGGTTTATTATTAAAAGTGATATGGGATATTAAGGCTATAGATGAAATATAGACTCACATGATCTACTTCATTCCACCGTTCAGTGTCCTGAATGAGAGTTCTGGAAAAATGAGTCTTTCCAGTCTTATTATCTGTTTCCTACAGGAAAACCAGGAGTAAGTTGCAGATAGAGACAAGGCAAATCAATCTACAAAGGCATGAGCACAATGAGGTTCTGTTCATGTCAATACAGTGCAAATATACATAAAAATCACATCAAGTACAAGCCAATAAACATATGAAATACCTTGTCAATTCTCTCTATCAGATGCACGGTCCGATTCCCCACCTTGATCTCTGTTGTAGTTTCATTGTGAAAATTGGCAGGAAAGTTACGTCCATGTAACAGCGATTTTGAGGACTCGTTCTCCATCTGATTGAGCATATTTATCAAATAAGATTAATATTGTCTAGATGTGAATAATGTTTTGACTGTACTTTATTATTAGACATTGAGAATTCTTCTGAGGTAAATCTTGCATTTAATCCTCTAGTGCAGGGGTTTTCAAATTGGGTGAATGTGAGCCTCCCCTAACAGTAGGTTAGGACAGCCGAGCCCCCCCTTCCCCAAAATCCCGCCCCCCTGCCCTAACCCACACACCTCTGCAGTAAATGCCATCTTTTGTGTGTTCCAGGCAACGATGAGTTCCAATAAAAACGGATAAAATGTAAATATTTTTTAATATTGTAGCCTATTTGAAGACATTTTATTTCCACAACTTTTTTAAAAGTGCATTCATAAACTATTCTTTGCAACAGCAAATAATTTCCAACTTTATGCAGGCCTAATTGAGGCTACTTTTAAAATCACTGGCCTAACCACAAGTCAACAAAACATGCTTAACATGTGTAATGCAATGAGTAGCAGTGTTTCGCCGATGTTATGGGGTTTGCCTGCCATACGTGACACAATAAGTTGCTTCTGTCGCCTAGGGCTGGGCGATAAGGCTGAAAACTGTATCACGATATCAGTGTTTCATATCGGTCGATATCGATAATTATTGATTTTTTTATGACCCATTTAAAATAAGGACCAGGAGAAAAAATATATTACATTTAAACATTTTTATTTTAAACTTAACCTTCCTCTGATTATAATCCCAAGACAGAAATGTCAACACAACCATGGAAAACTCAAATAATTAAAATGTAAACATAAGTCTAAATTCACAATCAGACCTGCAAACTCCTCAGAGTAAAAAAGGTGACAGTGGCGCGGCGGGACGGGGGTGGTGGGGGGTTGTGGTCGTACGTGCCCCCTGCTCGATTTTTTGTGATTTTAATATGCAAATGACACATTTCTGAGCGTGACTTAACAAAAATCAGCATACTTATCAAAAATCTTTGTGTTGCAACCCGGAAGTTTGTATCTTACACATGCACTGTATCATAAGAAGTCAGGGCAGAGCACCCAGGTAACGATAAGCCAAGCTAACGTTACAGGGATATTGCACCATTTGGGAAATTAAGCTCATTTTCCACCTCCCCTCGAGTAAAACAATTGTTTTTTTTTACCGTTTATAGGATTCAGCCGATCTCCAGGTCTGGCGGTACCACTTTTACCATAGCTTAACATAATTCATAGTATGAAGACAATACTAGGGGTGGAACGGTACACAGAAGTCACGGTTCGGTTCAGACACCACGGTTCGGTACGATTTCAGTACAATGGAGTGAAAAGCAAAACAGAAATATAGAAGGCATTTTTATAAATGTCTTAAGCCTTGTATTTTTTAAATAAGTTTTATTAATAAAGGCATAGAACCAGTTTATTTATAGTGCACTGATAATATTTTTATATAATTAGTTTATTAAATTAATAAAAAGATAAAAAGACCTTGAGATATGTTTGGTAATTGTACCTGAATGAATTTAAAATTTGCAATATTTCAGATCAATAATTTGTTTTCCTTCATTTTAATTAACCGTAACTTTATTCTCATCAGAATTATAAATAATGGATTTTTTCTTTTTTAATTAATGTGTAACTTAAAAATAAACAGATTAGTGCTCTGTTTTGAGGACAAGAAATGAAAACCAATGCGATATGATGAATGTCCAAAAGATGGAACACACAGACTGTTTTAAAAAGGGGTTGGATAAATATGTTTTGCTTTTAAAACGGTGTGTATGTGTGTGTGACAGTTATAGGTTACAGTTTGACAAGAAATACAGAGTGAAAAAAGCACGATGTTGTGTTTTATTGCGAGTATAGGACTACACAAATATGAGTAAACACTTTGCAGACTGAATGATGTCCTGTATTAAGAAAATGACGGAGTATGTTTTTATGTCTTCACTGTTCGATCGCGCCCGCGTGTCTCACTCTCTCGTGCCCGTGCCTACTCTCTCTCTCTCGCGCGCGCGCGCACACACACACACACACACACACACACACACACTCCAGCATTGGAATCATCTCATTCTCTACTCTTTACTTCTATTTAAGATTTTATTTAACTCATTTAAGACTGTTCTTGTGAGGATACTCGACAAAACTGACATTTTGGCATAAATGTGTGGGTTATTGTTCGTTCAGCCGCGAAAGAGAACTCGATACTGGCGCGCGTCTTTCTGTGCGTCATGCGTGCGTGCGTATGTGTGCGTGTGTCAGGACAGGAGGACATTCACTGACAGCGCGTTCTCTTTTGTCTTGTCGCGAATGAATGGTTTAAAAGCATTTGCGTGAATAAGAGCGTGATCATATACAAAAACGTATCGCATGCGTTGCCGGGATACTTTAAGCCCTGCGACATTAATAGAGCTGCATACAGAGTTATTTTTTCTTCGCGTGTCGCGCCTCCCCTGTGGCTCTTTGGCGCCCCCCAGGGGAGGCGCGCCTCACCTATTGAAAACCGCTGCTCTAGTGAGTTATGGAAAGTCCGATTCAATTCCGTGAATCGATTCTAATGAATCAAAATGATTCAGACACATTGCATATTACGGTTTTTGTCGATAGTTTTTAAATTAGGACATTTAAATAGCTTTTATAAGATGCCTTAGAAAAAAATATTGGCGTGCATCTTGAGACAAAACCTTTTACAGTCTATGGACAAAACATGCACTGGTATTGTCAGTGAAAGATGCTTCAGGTTAAAAGAGCTCAATATTGCATTTTAGTCTGAGACTTGCCTTGTCTGTGAAACCGGGGGATTGTTTTTTGCAATTTCATGTGTCCCAGTTCAGTTTAGCCTTTCAAACCAAAATATAAAAATATACGCTGAACAATACTAAAAAAAAAAAGGTACGATTTATTAAAAAAAATTAGTAAAACCAAATCCGTTATGAGATTCGTTCGATGTTTTGTGATGTTTTAAAAAAAAAGATTCCATGAAAAGATCCGACTCAAATTTCGTTCACCATTCGTTTGATTTGGACATCCTCGCGTATAAGCAAGGACATGCGGCGCAAAACAAAATTCAGTCTGCTGAGATTGTTTTGTTGTTTCTCCAGTCATACCTGGTGGACAGCCTCCTCTAGTTTCTGCTGCGTGTCCTCCATCAGTTTTTCCACCTCCCTGAACATCTCGTTTAAAGTGGTTTGTCCGTGTGCCACATGCTCCTGCAGGGTCTCGGTGATGTCCAGATGTCCCCCTCTGTGAACTGAGCTGCCCAACACAAAGCCCACGCAAAGGGATAATATCACACACTTCAGCATCGTTTTTTACTTAGACGAGTCACCTCTGGCGAAAATCACAGACCCTGTCTGTGCCTGCCTGGGACGTGGTTTATTTGGAAACTTGTAAGGGGAAAAAAAGACCGGAAAAGGTTTTTGGCTCCCACTATTGCGTCTGATGGCTCAATTATTAAAGCGACAGCGCACTGCCCTTCAAAAATGAGGAAAATGTGTTTTTTAGCTCGATATAAAACATAATTTAAAACAGAACAATATCTTGTTTATTGATATAAGTCTTTAAGTGCATTACAATATTTTTACTACTGTAGACTAAATTATCGGCTATAATGTTTTTGAAAATATCTTGCTCATCAAGCCTGCATTTATTTGCTCAAAAATATATAGAGAAAACAATAATATTGTGAAATATTATTACAATTTGAAATAATGGTTTTCTATTTTAATGTAGGCTATTTTAAAATATAGCCTAATTAATTTCTGTGATGCAAAGCTGTATTTTCTGTATTACTCCAGTCTTCAGTGTCACATGATCCTTCAGAAATCATTCTAATATGCTGATTTATTATCAATGTTGGAAACAGTTGTTCTGCTTAATATTTTTTTTATAATCTGTCTGTGATACTTTTTTTCAGTATTCTTTGAATAAAAAGTTTTTTACAAAAAAAGATTTATTTAAAATATAAAGCTTTGTAACAATGTACCGTTCAAATGTTTTTGGTCAGTAATTTTTTTTCTTTTTAAAAAATAAATAAAGTAATACTTGTATTCGTCGTCACATTTATTTATATAGAGCTTTTTACAATACAGATTGTTTCAAAGCAGCTTTACAGAGATAACAGGGAAATAATGCAAAAAAAGTTTGTTTCCAGAAGAAAATAGCATCACAATCCAGCTTAAGTAAGTTCAGTGATGTTTCATTTTTGTTTTAAAAAAGTTATTAATTTTGATTAATTGACATTTATATATATATAGCCGATCTGGAGTAAACCGTGATGTCATCGTCCAGCTCAGTTCAGTTCTTGTATAATAGTGTCAATGCAGGCAGATCAATATTATCGTTGAATATTAAATTTAATGTCCCCAAGCAAGCCAATGGCAACAAAGGTGAAAAGGCGACGAAGGCGAAAAAGGCGACAGTGGCAAGGAACCAAAACTCCATCAGGTGGCAGAATGGAGAATGGTTGGTTTGGAACAATCAGAATATTTATCCAGTTCCATCTGGTTGAAGATCGGAGTCACGCTGGTAGGAGACGGGTTTGTTGAGGATCAGTGCTGATGGCTGTCGTGTAGATGAGGTCTTCACAGGGGAGATAGTTGACACAATCTCTGCTGACACTTCAGGGATGCGTTGTGGTCGTGTCTATACAGGTCCTCCATCTGGTCTGGACCCGGCCCGGATCTGGCTGACTAAATCATGGGTTATGGTTAAGTCTAGGCACAGGTCCTCCATCTGGTCTGGATCCGGCTGACAACATCATGTGTTTTGGTCGTGTCTAGGTGCAGGTGCACCATCTGATCTGGATACGGCCCGGATCTGGCTGACTAAATCATGCGTTGTGGTTGAGTCTAGATACAGGTCCTCCATCTGGTTTGGACCCGGCCCGGATCTTGCTGACTAAATCATGCGTTGTGGTTGAGTCTAGGCACTGGTCCTCCATCTGGTCTGGATCCGGCCCAAATCTGGCTGACTACATCATGCGTTTTGGTCGTGTCTATAGGTGCAGGTGCACCATCTGATCTGGATACGGCCCGGATCCAGCTGATTACAGTAAACCTCGGAATAAGCAGAAAGACTAATATTAGCGTAGATGCCATTCTTCTTACGATGTAACGAGTACATTGGGGGTTATAGGAAGTGTTCCCGGTTCCGGCTGACCTAATTTATGCAGCCTAATAATCATTTAATGATTTGAATAATAGGAATGTACAATTTTATATGTGTATGCCAGGTTAAAGAAATGCCTTTTTAGTCTAGATTTAAACTGACAGAGTGTGTCTTCTCTTCTTCACAATGTTAGGAAGACTGTTCCAGAGTTTAGGTGCTAAATAGGAAAAGGATGTACCGCCAGCGTCGTACAGACGTTGGATTTTGGTTGGAAATGAAAGTTGTAATAATAATAATAGTAGTAATAATAATAATAACTGAATGTATTCATATGGCTCTAGGTCTCACTCAGTGTACAGGGTTACCAACATGAAATGGGGTTTTTTTTTTTGTTGTTGTTTTTTTTGTTTACAAATTCCTAGAGTCTAATGAACGCATCTGATTGCACTTACAGTAAAGGCACCTCTTCTCGAAGTGCATTAAGCGTGCACATCCTTTAAGAGTCCAGTAGATGGCGACAGAGTACAAGATCTCGTTCACCGCTGTGATTGGCTGTGCTAATGAAACACCTGCCAGCATGTGTGAGATTAAACTGTTGGCGTTCGAGCCAGAACTCTTCCACTGTTGTAGGTAAGATGCATGAATGATGCTCAAAATCGTTATCAAGACTCAAATACTATGTAGAATAGTTGCATATTGTATATAACATTTAAAAGAATGAGAAAAATAGATTTTGGCGTAAAGTTTAAAATTAGAGTGCATGTTAAAGGACATATGGTCAGGTAGGCCTACCTGGATCATGAGGCGTCTGTAGGACAGCTGGTACAGGGCAGAAAACATTGGGAATATTCCAATCATTAATGCACAACATGTTTTATGTTGTGGTGTAGTGTGTATGTAGGCCTACTTGTAAAATTCCATTCGTATCAATGAAATGCCGTTTTGCAATCGATGTGTTGTTGCTCCCCATATCATATTTTACAATACCAAATTTTATTTAAAACCAACGTCTAAAGTTTTTTATATATTGTTGAAAGCATTGCAATTACAGCTTTCGTTCGTTCAGCTCAAACCCTCAAGACAGTTTCTCCATAGAATGAAGTAAAGTACAGATGCCTGATAAAAAAAAAAAAAATCAACAGTGGGATTTGCCTTCCAAGTTGATCTGCACTTCCCATTGGGCGTCATGGGAAGCGCCGCCTCTAATTATAAACGGCATAAAGAGCCAGTGAGTCGCGAGGGCGACCTATATCAACAACCGGGTGGATGGAATCATAAGATACAAACATTTCTCTCTGCGAGATAAACTTCAGAGGTCAGATACTGTATACGGATAATATCGACCTCTGTCAATCAGATTCTGCGGCTGTCGCTGAAGCCCAAAGTCACATTACAGCGGAAAAAGTAAGTTTGTTGATCACTTCATTTGAGCGCATTAAAGCACGAGCTGCTGGGAAACTAGAAGTGACGCTATATTGGGCACGCGCTGCATTGACAGATACACTGCTGCCATACATATGGAAAAAACATTGTTATATTATAACACAAATAAATAGGGTTAGTTATGCTATGTATAATTGCGTTATGATAATTATATTATTATAATGAACAAGGTTAACAAGGTTGTATTGGATATCCAGTCGGGTGTTTGATTACATCTTAGCCAGGTTAGTTTCAAGAGTGGTGTAAATAATTTACTACAGCCTTTGGAGTTCTTGTCAGCTGTCAGGGTTTAGTTTGTAGTTTATCTCCTAGATAATGCCAATACAGCACTAAAGCATGATTTTTTTATTTTTTTATCTTTATCTTTTGCCTGATACAGTCACTAGCTACATGACAACATTTCCTTTTGGGAATCTATCTGAAGGATGGTCTACCAGTTAGAAACTAGCTACAATATTCCAAAACAGTTACTAAGAGACCAGTTTTAGTCTTAGTCATGACTGTTGTCAGGTAAACTTGTTTTGATCAGCAATTTTCCTATGGTGATTGTGTTTCTTCATGCTGATGAAAGTTTCCTAACTTCTGATATGTAACATGAATAGTTTTGGTTAGACTCGAGTGTTGTTTTTCTCTCCCTGTTGTCCAGGATTACTCATTGTTGGTGTGTATTGCTCTGACTGTCGAGATCAACAGGCTCAGACTGGCATCAAATATGTCTCAATTGATGAATAACTTGATTATTGCCTCCGCAGATGTTTTTGTATTTGTGTGTTTAGTTTAATATGTAATGAATTTCAAGTTGTCTAGATAAATATTTGTTCTTTTTTTCTAAGACTAGTATGTCTGTATCCTAAATTCCCAGCAGTGCTGCTGAACTTTAACACCATCTAGTTTATATGGGTTCTCATAACGCAATGTACGAGATGCACCGGTGTTTGCTTTTCTTGATCCGTTTAGTCTCTTGCAGATCATGTGGTTGTTTATGAGAGCTTTTCAATATGTTGTAGCTACCTCTGTTCTTGCCTATAGAGCAAAACGATACTGTTACACAATCCCCGCTTCCTGGAATATGCCATTGACTTATAAGGGCCGTCCTGAGCACAGAGAAAGACAGAAATACACTACTATGGTGTTCTATCAAATGGATTTCTGTTTAATCAACCACAGCTTCATCACAGGCATGAGGAAAGATCTGCAGAGAAGTCGCAATTGTGATGTACAGTACAAAGGTGCAATAAATAAAGTCGGTATTGTGAGATATAAAGTCACAATTAGGGCTGCACAATATTGGAAAAAACTGGCATTGCGATGTTTACTTGTTCTGCGATTTTTATTTTGCGATATGAAGAAATACCGGAATATTCACTAGATAACTTAAATGGCTATATTTGGAAAGAAATGAAAATCATGAAGACGAAGAACTCACGGACACAGTATTTGAACTCAAAAACCCACAGGAACACTCAGGGAAACATCACAACCAATTAACTTAGACGACACCAAACAATGAACTGAAAGAAGACAGTACTTAAATAGACAGAGGAACTAATGAGTAAATTAACTGGGACAACAGGTGAATGGAATATTTAATCAAGGGAACAAACTGACACACACTAGGAAACTAGGTCATACAGGCGAACAGGGATAACAGAACCAAAACACAATATAACCATTACAGTGTATATTTCAATATATCGTTCAGCCCCAGTCGCTATTGTGAGTTATAAAGTCGTAGAGAGGATCATGAGGTGGATAGGGAAATGACTAACACAAATAATGTTGGAGATCCTCTGAGCTGTTTAGGCAGTTATTTGGGATTTTTTTAAGATGAGACTCCATAGAGGTTCAGTTAAAATGGCTTGACTCCAATTATCCACAGATGTGAATGCTGAAAGTTTATCTGCTGCACTGTGGACATCTCTCAAAATAACAACCTCCCCGTTCCTCTTGACCTGCTGGGATCCTCATGCCTTTCATGTGGGTATATCGCAACATGGCAGTCTCTGTAAGACACGGCTTTTCGTGGAATTGCATAAGTTCATCTATTGGATTTTGTTAGTGCCGTTCACGATAAAATAACCCAACCGGCTGGTTGATCAGACTCCAGCTGGTTCATGTGGAACAAATAATGCTTCTCAACTCGGTTTGTACTTTTTCACTACCCAGCTGAGAGGAGAATCTGAACACCTGTTAAAGTTGCTTCATGTTGACATTTGATATCTTGAGAGGATTGATACTAAATGTATTTAAATGACTGACTTATTTTAATTAACCTAAAAGGCTATATGTAGTTTTTGGTCTTGGCAAAGGTTAGTACGAGGTTTCCATTAGTAAAATTGGAGGGTGTGTAAGACCATACCAAACCTAAATCCGTTCACCCTAGTGAATACGTGGTTTACATTTGGCCATCCTGTTAGTGTAACGGAAAGACTTTAATCCAGTGAATGCACTTTTTTTTAGTTGAAACTGTTGTTCATTTAGACCTGCTTGTCTGGAGCAGCACCACTTTTAGAGTCTTTAAATTCCTCATGCATGTTTCCATTATGATTCTTCCTTCTGCTTCCCAGTGGGTTAGAGAACGTTAGAGGAAGTGGAAAGTTGTGTTTGTTATCGTAAGGATCATATCATCCACACAACAGGATCAGTTAAAGATGCTGCCAGAAATCTTGATGTCTGCAAGGTACAGTATCTGTCAGAATTTCTGGAGAATATAGGACAAAAGCTCAAAAGAGCTTTTAAAATGCATGTTTATGGAACGATGATTCTGTTTTTAAAGTTTAGGCAAACTCTGCAAATGATTTTCTGCGTAGGCTAGAATTATTTGCCCCAGGACTTCATTAGCCTAATGTTAAGGCTTTGAACCTGCTGTACATTGCTGCACGGCTATAGAATCACACCATGGCAGCACTTGAAACTTGAGGCCTGTCTATTCTGAGCAGGATCACCAGAATGTTTCTCCAAGAGCTTATCCACTTTATATGGAAGTCTGTGTCTGCTTCAGAGTGAAAAATAAAATCGTAGGAGAAAATGTTAAAAAGAAATAGAAAGCAACAGTGAGAGATTTCACACAAATCACACAAGTCGCAATTGTGATTTGTGAAAGTTGCAATTGTGAGATATAAAGTGGCAATTGTTAGAAATGAAGTTGAAACTATAATGTGGCAATTGTGAGGTATAAATTTGAAATTGAGATTTAAAATGGCAATTGTGAAAAGTGGAAATTGTTAGCAATGAAGTCGCAATTGAAATGGGCTATAGATTGGCAATTGTTAGATAGTCGCAATTGTAATATATAAAGTGGCAATTGTGAGAAAGAGGCCAACTTTTAGCAATGAAGTCGCATTTGTAATATATAAAGTGGCAATTATGAGATGTATATTGGCAGTTTTGAGATATAGCCTAAAAAATATCTATAAGGCAATTGTGAGCAATACAGTGGTAATTGTGAGAGATATATTGGCAATTTTGAGATATAAATAATATCTATAAGGTATGATTGTGAGCGATAAAGGGGCAATTGTAATATATAAAGTGACAATTGTGAGATCTAAATTGGCAATTGTTAGATATAAAGTCACAATTTTTAGATATAAAGTTTAAATTGTGACTGTGAGCAGTGAGATATAAAGTTGATTATGAGAGTCAATTACTTAAAATATGTTTTTTTCTCTGATTCAGAAACTGGCTTCCATATAATGTTACTTAATACAGCAGGACAGTAAGATTTGTTAATGTGCAACAAGCTGCATTTGGTAGATCCATCGTTTTATTCTCAAATTTCTTAACAATCTTCCAAATGCAATCTAGCATGACATTTTATAAAATTATATTACCCTACAAAATATTCAGACCTTGTTTAAAGGCCAGTTTTCCTCTGAAGTTCTTTCTGTAAATGCCTCACAATGTGTTCTTTTTCTCTTTTTTTTGCACAACTACTGTATCGGTTATATATTTAGTGGGAAATGTAGGCCTGGTGTTGATTCTGATGGCTTAAGGATTCCTGGTTGCACAAGGGTGTTGCCCAGTTCAATGTCACTCGACCAAATCTGTACTAAAGACGTTACTCTAGAGAACTCATTACGGGTTTGACCTACATCTTCCCCTTCATTATGCCTAATGTATGATAAGTTGTGCTGTTTTGCGGCTTAGTTTGTTTAAACAAGAGTGATTGAGATATCATTCTCAAGAACTATGATCTCAAAATAGCTGATTTTGCCCATTTGCATTTTTCTTTCTACATCTGTTTGCCAATGATATTAGCCCATTAGTTGAGCTGTTGTGCCATATTTTGAAATCCTAAAAAGTGGCAACATTTTAGCACTGATGTGATCTAGAGGGACTGCTCTGAATTCTTTGTCCACCACAAAGCAGTAAAAAGTGCACAAACAGGAAGGACTTGGACCTCATACAATATCAGATATCCTGCCTCTGGAAATACTGTGCAGAAAATCGCACTTTTTTTTAATGCACTTTTGGCTGTGTACTTCCAAAAGTTGGAAAAACGCATTGGGAAATAAGGGAGTAATTCCCTTTAAGGAATAAAACATCTGAGACATTTCTTTTAAATGTTTTATTTCTCAGGGCTTTCTGGCAAAGTGTGCAATCATGTCGAATTAAAATACTTTCTCTTTCATTCTTTGTTTAATATCCTAGATATTTAAATTTTATACTTTTTTGTTTCTTTTAAGAAATGCTGATTTAACAGTGTTATTAAAGTATGACAGTTTTTAAAGATCAAATTTATAAGTGAGTTTTGTATGATGGCCAATGTAATCTAAATCTAAAAATATAGGAAATGCGCATGCTTTAAATATCCAATATCGACCAATGCCATATACTGTAATAAATACATAATACATTATGCTTACTTATAGGTCAGCTGGCTAACAATAACGAACGTCACTTCAACCAGTGTAACCGAACTCTCCTAGACAGCAGCATTGCTCTCCGGTTACTTTTGTTTGCTGGTACAGTAATACTTCAGGCAGTAAACTACTGATCTATATTGACTCTGTAGGGTGTACTTTCCCTACAAACATGAACACCCGTTTGTTTATGTGTGTGTGTGTGTGTGTGTTCCTGGTAAACGCTACTTTATGTGGACCAAATGTCCCCACAAAGACACTTTTTATAACCTTGTCCCCATGAGGAAAACCACTTATTATCATCATCTTAAATTGTTTTTTGAAAATGGGTTGTGGTTAGGGGTCGGGATATAATATACAGTTTGTACAGGATAAAAACCATTGTCTATGGAAATTCACCTTGAAACATGGAAACCCAGTGTGTGCGTGTATTTTGAACAAATGTATTCTTTAGGATAAACCCCTTGAGAAGCACCATTTCTATCTTCAAAACACACACAAAAAACACATCAACAACTACTAATATATTCACATATATACACACATATTTTTTTATTACTATTTTAATACTTTTTTTCAGTATGAATAGTTCAAAAGAACAGCATTTATTTGAAATAGAAATATTTTGTCTTTAGTGTCACTTTTAAACAATTTAATTTGTAATTGCTGAATAAAAGTATTAACATCTCATTTTTTCGTACTAGGTAGTGTATCACAGTTTCCACAAAATGTTAAGCTGCACAACTGTTTTCAACATTGATGATAATAAGAAATGTTTCTTGAGCACCAAATCAGCATATTAGAATGAGCAATGATGCTGAAAATACTTGCCATCACAGGAATAAATTACATTTTAAAATATACTCAGTTATTTTAAATATTGTAAAATGTTATTAGTTTTATTTTTATTGTTCTTATTTTTATTTATTTTTTATCAAATAAATACAGCCCTGGTGAGAATAATAGAGGAGGTTAACTTCCCTTTTGTGTGCTCCTATACACTCACCTAAAGGATTATTAGGAACACCATACTAATACTGTGTTTGACCCCCTTTCGCCTTCAGAACTGCCTTCATTCTACGTGGCTGAAAGGTGCTGAAAGCATTCTTTAGAAATGTTGGCCCATATTGATAGGATAGCATCTTGCAGTTGATGGAGATTTGTGGGATGCACATCCAGGGCACGAAGCTCCCGTTCCACCACATCCCAAAGATGCTCTATTGGGTTGAGATCTGGTGACTGTGGGGGCCATTTTAGTACAGTGAACTCATTGTCATGTTCAAGAAACCAATTTGAAATGATTCGAGCTTTGTGACATGGTGCATTATCCTGCTGGAAGTAGCCATCAGAGGATGGGTACGTGGTTGCCATAAAGGGATGGACATGGTCAGAAACAATGCTCAGGTAGGCCGTGGCATTTAAACGATGCCCAATTGGCACTAAGGGGCCTAAAGTGTGCCAAGAAAACATCCCCCACACCATTACACCACCACCACCAGCCTGCACAGTGGTAACAAGGCATGATGGATCCATGTTCTCATTCTGTTTATGCCAAATTCTGATTCTACCATCTGAATGTCTCAACAGAAATCGAGACTCATCAGACCAGGCAACATTTTTCCAGTCTTCAACTGTCCAATTTTGGTGAGCTCTTGCAAATTGTAGCCTCTTTTTCCTATTTGTAGTGGAGATGAGTGGTACCCGGTGGGGTCTTCTGCTGTTGTAGCCCATTCGCCTCAAGGTTGTGCGTGTTGTGGCTTCACAAATGCTTTGCTGCATACCTCGGTTGTAACGAGTGGTTATTTCAGTCAAAGTTGCTCTTCTATCAGCTTGAATCAGTCGGCCCATTCTCCTCTGACCTCTAGCATCAACAAGGCATTTTCGCCCCCACAGGACTGCCGCATACTGGATGTTTTTCCCTTTTCACACCATTCTTTGTAAACCCTAGAAATGGTTGTGCGTTAAAATCCCAGTAACTGAGCAGATTGTGAAATACTCAGACCGGCCCGTCTGGCACCAACAACCATGCCACGCTCAAAATTGCTTAAATCACCTTTCTTTCCCATTCTGACATTCAGTTTGGAGTCTTGACCAGGACCACACCCTAAATGCATTGAAGCAACTGCCATGTGATTGGTTGATTAGATAATTGCATTAATGAGAAATTGAACAGGTGTTCCTAATAATCCTTTAGGTGAGTATGTCACATGAATAATCTTAGTGGTGTAGGAATGTTGGCTCTTAGGACTTCCAATTTTAAGTGGTGCTGCTTTCTGCCGAATCCACTGGGATGCGTATGAACCCTTTGATGGTTCTCTCAAAGCTGAAGCTCCTGCAAAAAGATCCGTCAAGACCTAATGGTGAAAGACTGCATGTCTGAGCTGTCGGAGTCAATTTGTTTGGGAGTCACAGTGACACTAGTATGAACTAGTTTTTAATGTCTGTTAATGATAGACGGGATGGGCAAATGTGCATGATCCTTGAAAAATATCTCTGAAGGCAGTGGCACAGGTTGCTTGCAGTTGTCCCATCTGTCGAGAGGCTGGTTCTACTGATCAGTAGAGACAATATGATTTGTAGCTTCTAAATGTGGTCCGTCTTACTGTTTGTCTCACATGCAACTAGATTTTGTGCCAGGCAACTTTCCTGGCTCATCTTGCTTCAAGAAATATCCCCTGATGCCTTTTCAGCATGGTTAAATTTAGCAATGGGAACTTTCCCACACTGCATTGGCTGCACTGATCATTGGTGACACATAAAAATCCGGTCCTTGGAGAATTCAAGGACTAGAAATTTGGGTCAAGTTATTTTTATTATATATAAATATGTCTTCAGCATCATTACTCCAGTCTTGTCTTTTATGTGTGTGTATGAACCAGTGGAAATGTTAACAAACAGTGGATGTGACTGCACAAATGAATCAGGAGAGAGCAGCTAATGCGTAATGCCACCCTGCAGATAAATGAGAACCTCTCGTCAGCTGCCAGATTTGATTAGGCTGGTGAGACTCAAGTGACCCTCAGGAGTGTTCATTGAGAGAAAGATGCTGGACTGCTATTGAGCTCGAGCTTTTGGCAAGTTTTCTCACTCGTTCAGAACTGGTTTCACTCTCAAAATCAACTCTCTGTTCACTTGCTGAATTTACCTGAAGGACACATTGAGAAATGCACATAGTCCCACCTTCATGCCATTCCAAACATATTTCCCCTCTCCTGCACTGCACGAGAGGGAGACTTTTTGAAGAATGTGAAGGCCATTCTTCGTGCATGAAAATTAGTTTTCTGGCTCACAGGTTGTCTACAATGGGCCAATCTTGGTGTCCTGATTTTGAACATTCCTTTGTTCTGTCCCGTTTGCTCTGCGTGCAGTAATCCTATCAGGCACTAGAGTCTGAGTTAACGTGACTCTTCTAGCCTATTTTACAGCACATGCCAAGTGTTTTTGTGTCATTTTTATTTGATTTACCAGCAGTACTTCAGGACAGAATGCACTGCGTTTTACAAGGCATGGTCCAGATAGCCAAAGATTGACATACATTGTTGTTAGGATGGTTGACTAGTTGTCCAGCAGTCGACTAGTCCGTTAATGACGTTTTTGATGCTAAAAAGTATAATCCCCTTACATGGGAGACCCTCTTTCTAAAATATTCTTTATAAAAACAGCTAAATGAAAACATTGTTTCCTAAATAATTGCTTAAAATGATCTTAAAAATATTCACTTTTTTTAAGTTGACAATTAATTCGTTTTTTTATTATTATTCTATATATATTTACTTTTTATCACTTCATTTATTTTTATTTCTTCTTTATTTACTTTATGTATTTTATTTTTATTTGAGTTAGTATTATATACCATACCAGAAAAAAAAAAATCATTTTCCACAGACCCCTGGGCCCCAGTTTAAAAAACCCTGATCTATCTGAAATTTAGTTGTGCACCTCTTTAATTCGTACAATGACAGTGATGTTTTGAGAGAATTGACCTTTATATACAAAGTACAAACATTATATTCAAGCTTCGACTGGCTGCAATCAGAGCCCTAAAGCAATAAATGAATCCACTGCCTACCAGTTTTAGTCATTTCACTGCTCTGTATACCCATATATAGGGTGTTTTTCCCCACATACAGATTGTGGATTCCAGATAATGAAATTTATGGCACTTTCATCTCAGTCTATAAACAAATAAAACCCTCTGTTCTTTTGCTTTCCCCAGTCTTGGAAAGGAATGCCAGCACCAATCAACCTCTGACTGAATCCCCTGTCAACAGAGGGAAAGAGATGGGAGAGACGGAGGACGAGCGTGCGTCTCAGGCCGGCCAGCTGTTTGAGAACTTTGTGCAGGCCACTACCTGTAAGGGAACTCTTCAGGCCTTCAGCATCCTATGCAGGCAGCTAGAGCTGAACCCCTCCGACCACAGAGGCTTCTACAGCAGCCTGAAAGCTGCCGTCACTTACTGGAAGGCCCAAGGCCTGTGGGCGAAACTGGACAAGAGAGCCAGCCATAAGGAGTATAACAAGGGCAAAGCCTGCACGGAAACCAGAGTAAGTCTCTAGAGCTCTATACGTGTCCTTCAAATGTCACACTTCTTAGAGGAAGCAGAAATTACTTTAAAGAAATAAGGGCACTTTGAAAGGCTGGTTCAGCAAGGTAAGTTTGTTGATGTAGAAGACGAACTACGTTTATGGAATTCTGAATAAAAACGTCAATACCTGTTGTGCAACAAAAGAGAATTGAAATGGCACAACAACAACTCATTTTCATATCCACATTTGTTAGTCAAATCACTTTTGCCTGATATAGTGGCAGAGATCGCTGTAGCGGTGGTCGTCTTTGTGAAAAGTTTGTGTTCCTTCTATTTATAAAACGAAACAGGAAATGAGGATCAGCATCATTTAGTTTTAGCCATTTTTCTGCTTCAGTTGACCGTTGGACTGAGGGATCAAGGGTTAGGAGGATATGAGTCAGGATTTTTGTCTATCTAGAGCTCTTTTAGAAGAGGAGCACATGCATTGAAATATCCATGTTTATGAGATCTGAATTGTAATATTAGCATTAGCATGGTTTCACTGAAATTTCGCCTCTGAAATCCCATACAAGTGATTTTCCTCATCAGAGTGATTCAATAATGTTGCTTTAAATTATGAGAATGGCATGATCTCTATGCTGGAGTGCCATACCAAGCTAATCTAGGCTTACTCTATGTGGAGGCTGCATGCTAGCTAGTGTTTGGGCTATTATTATGTTGGTAGCTTGGGAAAAAAAGTCGTCTTTTGTTTAACTATAAGCTCAGGGTGACTGTTAAAGTCTACGAAGCATTACTAGACCACTGCTTTATCGTGTAGACATTTGTGAGCAGTCAATGGAAGAGTCAATCTGAGGTCACTTGACTTAGCATACATGTTGAGATTGTTGTTAGTGAGTTTTGCATGGTGGTTTTGCACTGTGCCTGTGGACTTATTGACCTTATTTGAGCTTGATAAGGCGTTGAAAGAATTGGAAACCCTAAAGAATATTAGTTTTGCAGTTTATTGTCAGGTTAAGGAGATTTCAATGCTAATCTCTAAATTTCTGGGGCTTTGGCTATTAATTTCTAGTGTTTTATCTTGGTCTCTGCTATTGTGGTGCAAGTTGTAGTTTGTTTGCATAGGTTTGCATTTCACATTGTGTGCTTAAAGTTTATTGCTCACAGATTTGTTGACTTGTTCCACAACAACAGTTTTAAAGAAATATTTCACCAAAGAATGGAAACTCACAATACATAAAATAAATAAATGTGGGCTCTCAAGTTCCAAAGTGACAAAAAGCATTAAAAGGTTAATAAAAATGGACCTACAAATTGTGTACATCTTCTGAAACCATATGATAACTTTGTGTGACAAACAGACCAAAATTTTAGCCATAATTCAGTTTTGCATATTCAAACTCAATGCATTGCAATCGTTCACGATACGTGGTTATCGATGATTGGTCATCGTGTCTTGATGTCACAATGTCATGCCATTATTGACACAACTTAATATAATGCATATTTCAATAGATGTGGAGGGCAAGATTTACAGTAAATAATGCCTTAAATTTATTGATAATTTGAACACTTACTGTGCTTTGTTTGACGCTTAGTGCTCTATTTTCTGACTGTTCTATCACAGTGGTCTTCCATGCTTGAGAGACCATAAGATTAATCCTCGAACTTGGCTTTTGAATGCGGGTCAACTGCTGTTAGCACTGCTCTGGCATAGAAACGCCTTCCTGAATGTCTTCAAAAGTAGAAATGTAAAGTGACAGAAGCCCACAGTGATGCTGAGAGGAAGACTTCCTCCAGTGATCATGTCCAGAACAGGAAACATTGGCACGCTGACTTATCTCACAGGATGTTGGGACCATCAGCCAAAGGCTAAGATAAAGAGTGATGGCAGACATTTTTCTCATAAAATAATAAATGCATTTTTAGGTTAGGTCAGTTTTATGAAGGCACCTTGTTCAGACATCCTCTGAGGTGAAAAAAATTCCTATATGTGGATATCAATGGTTAAAATATTACGTTCCTCAAGGCCAAGACTTTTGAAATTGTGTCAAACACCTACAAGTTAGAGCAGCAATTCATTGTGTGTTAAATACAGTCTTCTTGCTTCACCCTTACACGCCCTTGGCATCTAATTACAGGTAATAAAAGTGTGTTCGCCATTTTATGACCACTTTTGAACAAGCCTTTTATGGATGTGTCTTAACACTTTTTACAGTACAGTCATAATCCCTGTTTTGTTGTGAAGGACAAGTAAAGGCGTCACCCACAGTCCTGGCTCGTGTTAGAATTAGCTTGGATTGGGTTTTGAAGTAACGAGGAGGGAGATGAAATCATTCCATGTGGTTGTGCCAGAAGAATGGGTATGCACAAATTGGTTTTGATTTGTCAGGAAGTTGATGTATGTGGACTGAGGCAGTGAGGTCATTAAGTCTTTGCTTATACTTGTAGAAGTTCTCCAAAAAGCCAAGCAGTTATATGCAATAATAAATACCAAACTTGTTTGTTTTCACAGTGTCTCATCATTGGTGGCGGCCCATGCGGCTTTCGGGCCGCCATAGAACTGGCTTTGCTTGGCGCCAAGGTGGTGGTGATTGAAAAGAGGGACACCTTCTCTAGGAACAATGTCCTGCACCTTTGGCCTTACACCATCCATGATCTCAGGAACCTTGGAGCCAAGAAGTTCTATGGAAAGTTCTGCGCTGGATCTATAGACCACATCAGTAGGTTACATCTGCTCCAGTTACAGTACCATGCTTTTGACGATACTTTTACATAACCCCATGCAGTCATCAAGAGACACCACAACAGGAACATGAGATATGGTTTCACTGTTGGAACCTATTAGATGTTGCAATCAGATTCAGAGATTTGTGTATGAGCTTGTTGGATGAGATTTTCAGACACTCTGATGGTCTTTCTCTTTCAAGCTCTTTCAAGCTCTACCCAACCAAAAGATATGTAAAACATCCAGAGTAGCCGGGATTATGCAAATGTCTTTTTCCACACTTATCTCTTGAAAGATTTTGGTTGCCTTTTTATAGTTTATGTTTGTGCTGCACAAATTTATACATTCTTAATGTAGATACATGCATGCCTAAATGTTTTATTTGAACAGTACTTTGAATGATTCTTTAAAATAGCCAAGCCATAGAGACAACACAATAGAAAGATGTCTTTTTATTTTTTATATATATATATATATATATATATATATATATATATATATATATATATATATATATATATATATATATATATATATATATATATATATATATATATATATATATATATATATATATATATATATTTTTTTTTTTTTTTTTTTTTTTTTTTTTTAAAGGGGTCATATAATGGTACATGCACTTTTACAAGTTGATTGTACTGAAATGTGTGTTGGCAGTGCCTGTACACAAACATCATAAAATGATAATCCATCCAGTGTTTTTGTTTTAATCTCCTTATATGTTTTCCCCTGCCTCAAATCGAGCCGTTCGAGCCTGTGACGTCACAAGCTCGCACGCCCCTCCCGCGATTGTTGAATGACAGCCGCGTTTCAACACAGACCCGCCCTCGCTCGTGAGAGCTGTCAATCATAGTCTGCGCGGCGTGGACCGGCGCGGTCATTGTTGATATGCTGGAGCACTGTCTATGAGCAGAATGGCGTCTAAGCGATTGTGGTGTTTTGTTCTTGGGTGTAATAACGAACACAGCAGTCATTTTAATGTTCCTAAATCCGAACCGCTGAAGACGCAGTGGCTGAGTTTGTTTCCGAAGGGAATATTCCCCACGAGCAACGTCAATGCTTTCATGTTTGCGCGAATCATTTCACACGACTGCTTATAAACGAGGAGGGTCAGTATAAAGCTGGTTTTGCTAAGAAGCTGCTCCTGGACCGGTACCAACTATTCGTGTTCCTGCTGAACCTCCAAAATACTGAAGTAAGTGTAACGTTTTATTAAACTTTATATTAATATATTAATCTTTGCAAATCGCTAGATGCACGCTTCACAATGAATGCGTCTAAGGTTTACACTCAGGGTACATTACGGCATGTTTTCTATGTACGACATTCTCAATATAATTCATAATCCCACGTCTATAATGAACAACGCGTTATGGTTATTGTGTTACAAACGGTGTACACAGAACAGAGAGGCGGGGTGAGCAAAGCTCATGATCATTTAAAGGCATATGCACTGAAACGGCGTGCTGAAAACAGAGCTGTTTTTGACCAGGTAAAATAAGTGTTTTCTTACAATACTAATGAGAATTTTTAATTAAAGTATATTACAAAGTTTTAATTTAGACTCTAAAGAATCATATTAGCTTGTACAAAAATGGCATTATATGACCCCTTTAATTTTAAATCTTAATTTTTTAGTTGTATTTATTTTATGTTCTGTGATTTTTGTTTTGTTTTTGTTTTGTGCTAATTATATATATATATATATATATATATTTTTATTACTTTATTTTTATTTATTTATTAGTTTTCTTTTTTCTATTTTGTTTTCTTAATTTGTTTTATTTTAAATTTCACAGAATCCAGTCTTTTTTTATTTCTCTCATCACATTTCATTCAAACTCACAACAGTATTGTAATGGTCTCGTCCAACATCAGCACAGTTATAGGACATGACAAAATAAACCATATAAATGGGTTTCCTAGTGGATTTGATGGTGACTTCCTTATATTTTTCAGGTATTCGTCAGCTGCAGCTCATGCTGTTAAAGATCGCTCTCATTGTTGGGGTGGAGGTACACGTCAACGTGGAGTTTGTAAAGCTTCTCGAGCCGCCTGAGGACCAAGGCACTGATGGTAATCAATCATCATGTCATCTTAGTGCTATAACCATCTAGCTTTGAGGACTACACTGGCACTACGTTCACCATGGTGTTACCTTAGCTCACATTTACTGTCCATGATGCAACCTGACAGACCTGAGACGTGTGGAACTCCAAGGCATCATAACATAATCCCACACAGCCATAAAAATAACTATAAATACGTCCAAGAAAGCCATCAGCTGTTTTCTTTACACCTCTTGTGGTCTGGAAAGGGTTGGGTAATCATTACCTTTCGTCTTATGTCATTTTTGGTGGATTTACACACCCTTTTGCCAGTGGCCCTACACGCACATCCCGGCAAGTGTGTTTAAGAATGAGATCACAGACAAAGAGCAGCTGTTAACCGGTTTGCAAATTTATTTACTCTGTTTACACTATGGGCTGTGTTTCTTGCAGCCTATTTAACACTTTTAGTTAAGTTACTCTGTTGTATCTTCCTACTTCAAGATCCTAATGGATTTACGGAAGCAAAAGCAGGGCTAAACCAGATCATGAAAATTGACACCTTTCCCACTATGTACCCTTGACGCACACACGCCGCTGATACCGAGAAGGTTTGGGCCGTTCCTCCGCGCGTCACTGGCACTCAACAGTCTGCATTTTGCAAATGATAAACCCTCAGTTCTGTACTATATATAAAGTCAGGGGTCAGTGGGGTCTATAGCACCTCTCCTGCAATGCATTGCTGGTTAAAAGAGCATCGCTGGCCTTATGTCAAATTATAAAGGCCTCACACATGGACAGAACATGAAGGTTGTATTTTCCGATACAAGCAAGCTTTTCTTCCTGGCGGCTTGACAGTTACACACTGAGCTGGCTGTACTTTTAGAGTTGTGGTAAACAAAAGAAAGGCCAAGTTAGTTTGTTTTCTTCTGAGCTGAGCCTCTTTTGAGTTTGACCTGGTGTCTGCATTCCAGGGCCTGGATGGAGGACGGAGATCCGCCCGGCTGATCACCTGATCTCAGACTATGACTTCGATGTGATAATTGGAGCAGATGGAAGGAGAAGCACTCTTGATGGTAAGCGAATATTCAGTTATTGAAATTTCTTTCAGCATGCATAGATTCTAATTGGCTTGTGTTTGAAATCGAGATGTTTTACTGTTCCATAAATCAGCTGAGGTTAATTATAACCTCCATGTGTCTTTCAATATATTCTCTTGGAAATGGAGGAATGAATCATATCTTCTAAACAAACATCCCTCTTGTATGGAATGGTACTTCCTCTTCGGAATCAATATTGATCTTGGCTGAAATATTTCTGGATCCCAACTGTTGAACGTTGAACATGATTTTATTCAAGCAAGGGTCAAGGGTTTTATTTCCAGGGAATGCACATACTCTCTATATATCATTCGTCATCATTATTATATACGTCAAATTATATAGATATATTATTATGGTTTACGTATTTTATATTTTACAAATAGTATTAGTAATGCAAGTAGTATAGCAATATATTATATATTAACTTTAAATATTATTGTTTATAATATAAATAATTACTCAATTTGTAATAGTAAATAAATAAAATAAATAAATTAATATAGTACTATTATAAATGTAAGTAGTAATGTATCTATTATATTAATATTAAATTATATATACATATTTAATATTATAATTATTCATTTGGAGTATTTATTATTATAAATTAGTATTATATTGCAATACAAAATATTATATATATATAATATTATTACTTTGGTTCTATTTTGTGTACTAATCTAGCTTATACTCAACTTAGATTTGTTTACTGCAAATATTGTTGGTCTTCATGATAAATTGCTTGCTATGTTCCTCATTTGGAAGTCACTTTGGAACAATGCATTAATGTAGATTATCAAATAAGCCTACTTCCACATTCAAACATTTGTCTCCACTAAGCACATTATGGCATGGCAATTTTGGGCTTTGTTCTCCATACATCATATGGTGGACCAAACCAACAAAATGAACTCTTCAGAACATTAACACCATACAAGAAAAATTACACTGCAAATGTATTTGTCTGTGAATGACACACATTTAGCAGTTTCAGACTGGAATCTTTCATCTTATGAGATTTGGCTCTCTCAAGCATGATAAACCTGCTTAAAAAGGCTTTAACATGCTCACTCAGTCAAGAAAATGGACCCAGTGATTCCAATTTCCAAAAACTGTGTCCTACATCCAGTCTTCAGAATACGGGTCAGCTCTTTGTGTTTGACAGGAAGTTTAACCCACCACAGGAGGGGTGGGACAGGACTACTTTCATTGCTTCCTGCTGACACAGTTAGACTCTGCTGGAGTTCACAGACATGAACTGATCCTAGATCAGACTTAAATCTGCTCTCAAGTTACAATAAGAAACCTTTGAACCATGCTGTGCTAAATTACACTGAGACGTGTGAGAAGCACTCAGACTGACGTGAATTATGGTTTTATCATTATTTTTTAAATGTGGGATAGTGGTGGTAAACAAGCGCTTGGTGTTGAGTGCTACCATGAAAGCAAAGACCGTATTTTGCAATATGTTGTTGTGCAAATGCTTTTGTTTTGCACAGGTCAATGTGCACTTATTTTTGCAAATATATGCTGTCTTAGCAATTACATTATCTATTGATAAAAAAAAAAACACGTTCACCATTTTAAAGGCAACTTGCATCTTATCTTATACTTAAAGATGTCAGTAAAAAAAAAATTTTATCTGTAACTCAAACATTACGTGCCAAAGTATATTTGCCATTAGGAATCTTGAGCAAACAAACAAATAACAATACTGTATGTTTGTTTGCAATCAACTCTAAATAAAAATCCTCTCTCTGCTGCAGGCTTCAGGAGAAAGGAGTTCAGAGGGAAACTAGCCATCGCCATTACCGCAAACTTCGTCAATCGTAACACCACAGCTGAGGCCAAAGTGGAGGAGATCAGCGGAGTGGCCTTCATCTTCAATCAGAAGTTCTTCCTGGAGCTCAGGGAGGAGACAGGTCAGGTGACCTACTGTGCATGACGACAACTTCACTACAACAAGAGCTGGATGACAAAATGATTTAATGTTTTTAATGCAAATTACATCATAAGTCAAATACTGACGCATACTTGGAATCATTCCGTAATGGTTCCCCTACTTAAAGTGGAGATGAGCAAAACTGGATTGTATTCTTCTTCTGAGACAGATGTAATTTGTCAAAGTTATTAATAGAGCTTAATTCATCTTGCACAGCGATTCATAAAACACCAGCAACAAAAGTAGTCATTCATTGTTAAACACTTTGCACAGTCATGCTAATTGACCTCATTTATCTTTTGTACAGGGATTGATTTGGAAAACATCGTCTATTACAGGGACAACACGCACTACTTTGTCATGACTGCTAAGAAACAAAGCTTGCTGGATAAGGGTGTGATCATCAATGTGAGTTCTGGTGGGCTGTTCATGGTGAATGGTGTAATGGTTTAGTGTCTTCAGTGTGTCAATGTTGTGTGAGCATGAAATGCCACAATATATTGGAGTTAAAAAAAAATGTAACAATTTAAATGTTGGAGTGTGTAAACTTTTTTTTTTGTGCATTTTATTTACATTAACAAATATTATAGTAACGAGTATTTAGTAATAAAATATAAGGGATTAAATGTATTTAATTTGAAAGATTTTTCTATATTCATTTGTGAAGCATTTAACATCATGGTAGTATTTGTTGTACTGCCTTTTTAGTCTTATATAATCTGATTTGATCTTAATTTTTTTTTTAGATAATTGTAAATGTTTATCACATAAAATGTATTTTAGTAGTAAGGTAAGGACTTGGATTAGAGTAAGTCTTTAATGATTGTAATGAGCTTAATTTGCAAATGATAAAAATCTATATAGAAGACCCTTACTATTGTGTAAAAACAATAATTTTTGTGTAAGTGGACATGTGCTATGGCGAGTATTAGTTTTCCTATGGTAACCATTACGAAGTGGATATTTTGTTCTTTGAGTGCATTAGAAAGAACTATTTCATGTTTATTATGAAAAGAAACCCTACCAGGAAGCCTTGTGTTGGTGTCTGTGCTAGATGTAGTTTCTCAGAGTATCATACAGGATATTACAGCACAGCTGCTGAGTGATTGAAGCTCTTTGTAGTGTTTGGAGTTCATAGTGTTTGGATATTCATCATTCATGAATATTTTTGTAGTTAATATTTCAAATGTAATGTTTTTTTTGGTCATAATTTTCCATTTAAAAGCACGTTTCCTCTGTTTGTTTTTTTTCCATTCCCAGGACTATATTGAGACTGAACGGCTGTTGGCAAATGACAACGTGAACCAAGAGGCTTTGCTCTCGTACGCCCGCGAGGCTGCGGATTTTGGCACAAACTACCAGCTGCCCTCTTTGGATTACGCCATCAACCACTATGGCCAGCCAGATGTGGCCATGTTTGACTTCACCTGCATGTACGCCTCGGAGAACGCCGCACTGGTGAGGGAAAAGAACGGACATCAGCTGCTGGTGGCGCTGGTTGGAGATAGTCTTCTGGAGGTAGGTGTCATCTTATAGCATACTATATATGAGGAGAAAGATCAATAGTTACATTCTTGATTTTATAGTTTTTTTCTAATTAAATAAATACAATTTGTACTATATAATTATATTAGACATGTATTGTGTATATAGTAATTATGTATAATGATAATTAATATATATTATGATATTATAAGTAAATAATTAACTTGAATTTCAGAATATTTTGTCCACCTTTTGCTTTAATATCAGCAACACTTAAACTACACATCACGAACCTTAAATATTTACTTATTTTACCTCTATACTTTCTTGTTTTGTGCTCTTCGGTCATTTTGGACAATTTTACGTTTTGTTTTTTAAGAATTCTTTACTTAATCAGAAATTATGGTACAAAACTTGGTAAAGGTTGAATACACACAACAACAAAAAAATCATGGACATGATTTGAAGAGGTTAAATGATCCTGAAAATAATAGTCACACGTGTACTCCTCGTTGTCCAACATGAACGCTTTGGAAACTAAATGAAAATTAATTTCATCTAGTAGAAATGTTTGGCACTGCGCCCAAACAAAATCTTACCGAAAGCTCATTTTTTAAGATATCAACCTAAAATTTGAAACACAACTTTTTTAGATTTATGGCTTTGATTTTTCTCACAGTTTTGGAGTATAAACATATTTTGGAAAATATGCATTTCATATTAAATTGAAGTGTAGTGTTTTTGTGCATTTTTCATAATAAACGTACAATTATATAACTTTAAGTTCACTTTTTTAAAACTTTTAAACTTTAAACTCTTTCACTTCAGCAATAATCTGCAGTGTGTCTTTTAAAAAGAGACTAAACTAAACTAAAAAGTCTGTGCTTCATAACATTCAAGATGTATGACCGTTTAAGCTGGAAATTTTATTTTCAGGTCTATTCTTAAAAAGTGGTTAACATGTAATAAATGGATTACAGCATAAATATAATTTAGTACGATAAAACCCCCTAAAAATATTAAATAAACATTATCGAACCAAAATATAGCACATTTAAAATCTGTAATTTTTTACCTCCATGCAAGGAACACCAGAGGGTTAAATGTTTAAATTAGATTTAAATTTAATAAATTTTTTTAATGATTCACTTTTTTTTTTAAGATTTGATTTTGGACCCCACTGCATGTCTAAAATTAAACCGACAAAAGATAGTTTACTTTAGGTTTAAATATTTCCTGAGTTGCAACATGCCGCTTGACTGTACAGTGTTTTGTTTAGTGTGGCCTGTAAACATGCCATGTTTTCTCTACATCTCATCGGTCTCCAGCCTTTCTGGCCCATGGGGACAGGATGTGCTCGAGGGTTTCTGGCTGCCTTTGACACAGTGTGGATGGTGAAGAGTTGGGCTCAGGGCAAAGGACCCCTTGATCTTCTGTCAGAGAGGTGTGAACATGCTCCATCACCGCTGCAACTCTCCAATGAAAAATATTTTGTCTTTTTTTTTAAATATATAATTTTTTTGGTTAAAAACCACCCCCAATGCCCTCTGTTTTTTTATTATAGGGAGAGCATCTATCGGCTGCTGCCTCAGACGACCGCAGAAAATATCTCAAAAAACTTTGAGCAGTACACCATAGACCCAGCCACACGTTACCCCAACCTCAACTCATCCTGTGTACGATCACACCAGGTGAGGCCGCTGCCCATTATCATTATATGCATCTGTCTTCCACCTGTAAATCCTAATCTTTCTCTTTCAGGTGCGACATCTGTACATCAACGGCGAGCAGGACTTAAGTTCTCTGGAGCGCAGTGGACCCACACGCAGATCCGCAAACATCTCCAGACGAGGTAGATTCAATATTGTTTGTCTTTGAAATATGGCAGCAAATTTGACTGCTTGATTCTGTTCTGATGTTGAAACAGTTCTTTCAGGGACTATGATCACAAAAATCAATGCAAATTCAACCGATCCCTGCATTTGCTTTGCAACAACTTGCAATTTTGTCTTATTTCTGTATTTCCACATAAAATTGGAAAAAGAAAGCAATATCAGGTAATGATTCACCCTGACCAATTTCCCTTGAACATGCTAACTCCATGCTATAATCACAATATATGACTAATGTCTTATTTTCACTCAGCCCAACTTTCAAAATCTCATTCAGATTCCTCATACTCTAATATGATGTAGTGGCTCCATGAGGTCCTTGTTTCTCTTATATTGGCTTCACCTGAATCTGGCCTCACGGGAACAAAGATGTCCACACCCTGTACTCAATCAAAAGGGTCATGTTTCATAACCAAATATTTAACAAAAGCATGTGCCGGCTTTTAGTAAACCTTATCACTTGCACTCTAGTGAGATTTTATGGGTTTTACTCTGCTTCATGTGCAATTAAAATAATAATAACAAAACACAGACAGTGCAGGGGTCTTGAATCATCATAAGGGTTGTGTAAAGAAGAAATTGTATAATGTATTTGTGTATATATTAAGTACTATATATATATATATATATAAATATAAATAATTATTTTGTAACATAAAAAAATGTTTAACTTTTCATCAATTTAACGGGTCCTTGATGAATAAAAGTATTAATCAAAATAAATGAATATCGCTGAACCCAAACTGGCAAGTATTATAAAAAGCAGGGTCTTATTTGTCAACATTCAAAATTTTGTCTCAGAATATGTATTATGCAATATAAGTTTCCCACTCAAAAACGATTCGAAACCTCCTAATGATGGTACAATTTGATTTCAGAGTCCGAGGTGCGTCCCAGCCGGCTGCTGCTGTGGTGCCAGAAGCAGACCCAGGGCTACAGGGGGGTAAATGTGACTGACCTTACGTCCTCCTGGAGAAGTGGCCTGGCTCTGTGCGCCCTCATTCACCGCCAGCGGCAGGACCTCATGTGAGCAAGACACAAAACTGGCTGTCATATTGATTCAGTCGCATGATCTCACTCTCATACGGTTTGACAAATGCTCCATTATTTAGTGCCTCTTTGATCTCACACACGTGGCGGTACCTCCTTCCCTGAAGCCATCAAAACAAGTTGTTTCCTTTTGCTGAAGGACAATAGCTTTGATTTTTCAACTTCATTTCCCCTGCGGCTTTCGAAAGAAATTGTTTTTAATTCAATAGGGTGAATAGATCAACAGGGACAAATAGGGAAGAGAAGTGTTTCCAAAAGAAAGGGGAAGAAACAACATGTCCATGTCTTGACCTGTCCTCTCACTAATCAAAACAAGACTCTGTAGAGCTTGCATCATGATTTACACTGGCGATAGCATCATGAAGTAATTTTCACGTTTCTGAAATTGCCATTAATCTTGCAGCCCCTTCTGGATGTGAAGGACAATGTGACGGGGACTGAAATTATAAATCAGCTCATCCAGTCATCACCACTCTGTTTGACAAATATTGTTGTTCACCAAGGATACAGATTGTGAAGAACACAGATTCTCAGTTTAATGGAATGGCATTTCCACCTGATAAGGTCTTTTTTGACCTGATTCTCTCTCCTGATCTGCCACTTTATCTCACTTCTGTGGTCTGTTCTTCCTCTCTTTGTCCCTTCCCCCAGTGATTTTAACTCCCTGAACGAGGCAGACTGCGCTAAAAACAACCAGTTGGCGTTTGACGTGGCAGAGCGGGAGTTTGGCATCCAGCCGGTCACCACAGGAAAGGAAATGGATTCCGAACGGGGGCCAGACAAGCTCATTATGGTGCTCTACCTATCCAAATATTATGAGATGTTCCGCAACTCAACTCAGTCCAACACAGGTAGAGCTTTCCTCACTATTGCACCTCAATAAAAACCCCAAATGAATTTTCCAAAAACTTAATTTGGGGTGTATCAGTAATGTTATTAAAAAATAACATTTGTCAAATGTACTAATATTCTGGATTTATTTAAAAGAAGGCTATATACCCCATGCACCTCAAATTTATTCTTAAACTCTTCTTAAATATACTTTATGCCAAATAAAGTGTGAAGATCTCCAATGCCACCATTTTTAAAGAATGTTTGTTATTTAACTTTGTTTTTTAGATATAGATTGCATTAGCCATCTAACATGTTAAAGAGCTGGCTATTATTTCTCAATGCATTGCACTGGATAGCAGTGCATGTTACACATTCTGCATGAGTTACAGCAAGGCATTTTAAAAATGTTGGAATCGCAGATGTTAACTTGCAGATTGTGGGGTGCGGTGTTAGCTGATGGTGTGCATCTGCTGTACACATGCTCTCTGGTTTTGAGCGTTCTCCAACTTGTAATGTATTAAGAGTTTATTTTTAAATTCTTGCCTTTAAGCATGTACTGAAAGCTTCAGCAGTGTAGTATTAAAGGTACATGCTGGCATCTTGTTGATAACGCTGGTGTAGCATTTCTTGTACATTTTCATTGACTTAACACACACTGAAGTATGATGCTAAAGAGTCTAATGTTCTGTTTGCAGGTGTTCCCAAAGAGACTGATACAAATAATGAAGACTATTCATCAAAAACTGCAAACTCTCATTACAACTCGATAAATAACACGCAGCCAAGGAAGAGAATCCCAAAGGTAGCATTTTTACCGTTATCTTCCTCTGTGACATAAATCACTTTAATCAATGTAAACCGAACCTACATCTCCCCCTAATGATGTAAAACACAATACCTTTTCTTTATCCAAAGGTTGATAAGAAGTTGGAAGACAATGACACAAACAAAAAAAGGAAGAAGGCCAGCAGTCACCTGGAGGAGGTATGTTAACTTGCCCTTTTGGTGTTGAATGTTTTCCTTCTAAGCATTGTTTATTGCTTTACTTCCTCTAATTGGTCGGTTTCTTTCTCCAGCTAACGTCCAATCAGAGTGCGCCCCCTGTAGGTGAGAGAGAGGAACAGAAGGAAAATAAGGTGCGCTTCATGGCAACTCAACTGCTGGCCAGGTTTGAGGAGAACGCGCCAAGCTCTGGTTTGCGCAGACAGGTACGGCTCATCTCCTTTTTCTTTCTTTTTTCTTCTTTTATTAAAGCAGCCTATGTGTATCAGGAGATATTACTACATCTACGCTGCTTAAGGTCTTCTAAGCTTTAGCTTCTGAAATAACAATGTATATTGAGGCTATTTGAGGAGTTTTAGAGTTATCTTTTGTCTTGAAGTCGGTCATTTTACCATTTGAGAAAGTTGGACCGTGAACTGCTCATGTGGTACCGATACTCTTGAGTAAGTAGAACGAGCTGTCGGGATTTAATCCGGCTCCTTAACCGTGCCTGTAATTCCATATGAATACCTGTCTTTGTGCAGTGAAAGTAAATCCTCTGGTTCATCATATGCAGGATCTGAGCATCACAGACCACAATGAAGATATTTGATTTGGATGCATGATGGTACATTTCAAAACATGACAGATGTTTTGTTTGACCGATGTCAGACAGATATTTTATGTAGATGTGATACAGATTTTCAAGAAAAAAGTTTAAATCAGAAGAATGAATGTTTTGACTAGTTGTAATCCCTAATGCAGTGCGATTTTTCACAGTCAGCCTGCTGTTTTTCTGTCAGCTTTCCTTTTTTGAGATTAGCAGCGGTCATTAAATGTTCTGGCTGCTCAATTATAGGCTTAAAGGATGTAGGTCACTCATGGAGCGTTAATTCTCCATAACTGAATATGAACATCTACAGTAATGAACTGTCTTTGCTGTGCAGTTGAGAAGTTGATCATAAGGCAATCTGAGGTTTTAAGCATTTTATACCGTTTCATTCAGTTGCTCTGCTCTTAAGGTCCACACCACAAATATAGCGATAATGGCACTGAGAAACGATATCGCACTTTCAGAGTGATTTTAAATTTTTTTTCCAGCTGATGAACAATAAAAACAATGACAGCCAATCAACAAGAGTGTAAAGAGCTTAAGCATTTAAAGTGGTAGACTGCATAACTGAAGCGCATACTTAGAATAAACAGAACGATATCGTCCGCTGGTCTGGATGCTAAAATAGTTATCCTTATGGTATTCGTTCTTGATGTGAACGGGCCTTTACACTTGCTTGCTTTCCTTTTTCTGTGGCTCTTTCAGCTTTCCTCTGATCTCTTTCTATCTGTCCTGTTTCTTTCTGCATCTTCTGTCTCCCCTGGTGCAATGTTACCGAAACTAGTCTGAATCTGAGACTGACTCTGTTGCTGACCAGCCCGTATCTCTGGACATGACTGAAAACCCTCGCTTTGCCAAACCTAAGAGCCAGCCCGCACCCTCTCTGCCCCAAACCAAACCAAAATGGCAGGTACGCTCAGCCAGCGTGTGAAACATCCATCATTCCACATTACTTACAATCGCATGCATCAGTGTATTGATTTCATGTGTGTGTCCACTGCTGATGTGACGCACATCCATGATGCGTCACTTGATCGACATTGTTCCTAGAATAACATTCCTATCAATCAATCATTGCGTATATGTTTTCCATTATCAGTCGTTTCAGTGGTTGTTGAACTCTTTTCAAGAACTGTTTGAATTTAGACACAAATTTTAGGGATGCACTGATATATACACCTATGCCAATAAGCCAATAATTATTTCATGTTATGGCTGATAACCAAATTTATACTATTTTGTATTAATTTTTTAAAATAAAATTCACATTTAAACGATTTAATAAAATAATTTAATTTAAAATGTTTTAAAGAAAATGTAATTTTTTTTAAAAATAAATGTAAAATAAAACACTTAAACTTAAATAAATTGATGGTGCAAGTCAATTTAAGCATCACAACATTGGTTAAAGAAAAATGGATATTCATTTTAAGATTTGAGATTATATTTAGGTGTTATAAATTTTTACCAATTAATTTCAGTATTTAAAATAACTCTTCTAAATTATTACTGTTTTTACAAGTGCCAGAAAAAATCATCTAAATGTAAAATAGGAAATAAGCATGAACAATTCAAATATCCAATATCCTCAGTACGATAATTGAAGAAAAAAAAGTTATCGTCCGATAACTAAAATGGCACTCATGCATCCCTAATAATTGTTTAGTGAATCTGGCTTCAACTTGTCCCCTGTGTCCTTTCAGCCATCTCCTTATCTAAGACTGCTTGAATCTCACACGCGGAATGAGACCCACAAGCACACACAAATCCAGTCCAACTACAAAAACACTGAAATTCCCTCAAGTTATCAAGCCAGCGAGTCTCGTCCCAGATCTCCTCACATTCCCTTCAAAGTGCTCCAGTCGGATAGTCATCTGCCCTCATCGACAACAGACCCCTCAGATTCACCCCCGTCATTCACACCAGCCCAGGGCGGGACGTTGCACTGCCTGCAGAAGCTGGAAGAGGAAGTCAGTCAGGTGAATGCTGTGATGCATGGATCCAAACCCGTTACATTTCTAAAACAGACCAATTAAAACACTTTAGGAACTGCATAGTAAATATCTGGCAACCACCCATAACAAAACAAATGTATGCATTAAAAAAAAATTATTTAGATGATTATTTCAGTGAGTTTTGGCCAAAATGATTTGGGTTAATTAAAAAAAAAAGAAAATAATTAAAGTTATCGCCATCTCTTAATTTTTTATTTTTTATTTTTTTGCTTTGAGCATGAGGAAAGCATCTAGATCTATTTTTCCTTACTTCATTTGATGTTGCATGCCATGCATGAATATTTTTATAGTAAACTTGTATAAATTCCTTTCCTATCTTATTTGTGATGCTTTCTGTGTCATCTGCCTTTGAATTATTTGCAGAGAAAAGTGCAAGCTGAAATGACTAGACAGTTCAACAAAAAGAGCATTAAAGAGCGAGCTCAGCAACTGAACGGTCTGTTCACTGGCACACCGCCTCCACCTCAGGTGAAAAGAGAAGTTGCCTGTGTCGGTAGTCCAAGTGCATCACTAATATTCAAGCATGATGCGTGCTGTGTGTTCACAAAACTGCAGTGGCCAGTTTAGTGTGTTTTACCAAGTGACTATGTGAACTGAGTGCTTTTGGTCTAACTGAAAATAGCCTCAGTATCTATAACATTTGATCTCAGACTGTGTTCAGTTTCTGCTCAGTTAGTTTGCCCTTGCTTGACCTCACGAGGGATTTTCCCTCTCAGAGGTTGAAAGAACTCCAGCATCCGGTGATCTCCATGCTTTATTTACTGTGGCCTTTTCTTTTTCATCCCGACTTATATAATTATTGAACAGTACACCACAACTGAAGCAGAAGAAACGCAGAGAAGTTTGTTTGGTCAGCACGCTTTCATTTCAGCAGAACTAATCAGGAATGCATCAAATAGGCGCGTTGCGGTTGGCCGTTTTGCTGAATGGAGTCCTCTGTTCTCCCGTTCTGTCTGTCTTTCACTTTTTCATTCTCTATGAAATATGAGACCAATATGATTATTTTAAGATATGTATAAGTGATTGTTAAATATTATTGTTATTATTATTATTATTATATTAATTGTATTAATATTGTTATTTATTGTAGTAGTTCATTTATATATGTAATATAACAATACATATTTAAAGTCCTAGTCGTCATTTCAATATTAGCTACACAATGATGATAATAAAAGATTATTATTATTATTATTATTTATTGTAGTAGTTTGTATGTAAAATAATACATATTTAAAGTCATACTCTATTATTTCAATATTAGCTACACAATGATGATAATAATAGACTAGAATGTACATTTCCAGAAGAAAATGTGAAGTGGTGCTTGCAGTGGCAAAACTCGCCGCTCGGTTGCTAGAGTGTTGTACATGATTGCATACGAGCCAACAACCATGTCTGTACGATATTGTGGAGCTGAGACATGGCTTATTTATGTGTTTGTATGGTTACTAGGGTACCCTATATGGTTGCTATGGTGTGCTTATACAGTTTATGAGATGATATTTAAAGACTAGTTGACAGTCTGAGTCAAAAAAGCCAAACTCCATGTTTCTACTATTTTCTGGAGCTGAAATATGCCTTGGAAATATAGTTTTATGGTTGTTAGGGTGCCCTAAGTGGTTGCTAGGGAACGGCTATGAAGTTGTTATATCACTACTTATTGGCTTCTTGATAGGCCGAGTCAAAAGAGCCCAACCCCAAGTCTCTATGACCTTCTGGTGAAAAGATATGATCTCACAAATTTTGTGCCAATGTTAAGTCTATGGGACTTTTTTTGGCTGATTTATTCGCCCGCCGGACGAACATCGTACAACTGATCGCTTAGAAAAGTCATAGCACACCTCTCCTCAATGAACTGGTCGATTTGACATCTCACTCATGGGTCTACGACAAAAGGTGCGGGAGGAGTAGCGTGCCGAAGTTTTGTCTAGGTGAATAGTAATCACAACACTAGAATGTACATTTCCAGAAGAAAATGTGAAGTGGTGCTTGCAGTGGCAAAACTCGCCGCTCGGTTGCTAGGTTGTTGTACATGATTGCATACGAGCCAACAACCATGTCGGTACGATATTGTGGAGTTGAGATATGGCTTATTCATGTGTTTGTATGGTTACTAGGGCACCCTATATGGTTGCTATGGTGTGCTTATACAGTTTATGGGATGACATTTAAAGACTAGTTGACAGTCTGAGTCAAAAAAAGCCGAACTGGAGCTAAAATATGGCTTGTAAATGTAGTTTTATGGTTGCTAGGGTGCCCTAAGTGGTTGCTAGGGCGTGGCCATGAAGTTATTATGTCACTACTTATTGGCTGCTTGATAGGCCGAGTCAAAAGAGACCAACTCCAAGTCTCTATGACCTTCTGGTGAAAAGATATGATCTCACAAATTTTGTGCCAATGTTAAGTCTATGGGACTTTTTTCGGCCGATTTATCGCCCGCCGGACGAACATCGTACAACCGATCGCTTAGAAAAGACATAGCACACCTCTCCTCAATGAACCGGTCGATTTGACACCTCACTCATGGGTCTACGACAAAAGGTGCGGGAGGAGTAGCGTGCCGAAGTTTTGTCTAGGTGAATAGTAATCACAACACTAGAATGTACATTTCCAGAAGAAAATGTGAAGTGGTGCTTGCAGTGGCAAAACTCGCCGCTCGGTTGCTACGGTGTGGTAAATGATTGCATATGAGCAAAGAACCATGTCTGTACGATATTCTGGTGCTGAGATATGGCTTATTCATGTGTTTGTATGGTTACTAGGGTACTCTATATGGTTGCTAGCATGATTAGCATGTTTCTAGCATCATGCTAGCATGATTAGCATGTTTCTAGCATCATGCTAGCATGATTAGCATGTTGCTAGCATCATGCTAGCATGATTAGCATGTTGCTAGCATCATGCTAGCATGATTAGCATGTTTGTAGCTAGATGCTAGCATGATTAGCATGTTGCTAGCATCATGCTAGCATGATTAGCATGTTTCTAGCATCATGCTAGCATGATTAGCATGTTGCTAGCATCATGCTAGCATGATTAGCATGTTTCTAGCATCATGCTAGCATGATTAGCATGTTGCTAGCATCATGCTAGCATGATTAGCATGTTGCTAGCATCATGCTAGCATGATTAGCATGTTGCTAGCATCATGCTAGCATGATTAGCATGTTGCTAGCATCATGCTAGCATGATTAGCATGTTTGTTAGCATGTTTGTAGTTAGATGCTAGCATGATTAGCATGTTGCTAGCATCATGTTAGCATGATTAGCATGTTGCTAGCATCATGCTAGCATGATTAGCATGTTGCTAGCATCATGCTAGCATGATTAGCATGTTGCTAGCATCATGCTAGCATGATTAGCATGTTGCTAGCATCATGCTAGCATGATTAGCATGTTCCTAGCATCATGCTAGCATGATTAGCATGTTTGCTAGCATGTTTGTAGCCAGATACTAGCAAGATTAGCATGTTGCTAGCATCATTTAGCACTTAACTAATCGATATTAGCATGTAGCTATTCACAGCTAGCATGTTTAGCATGTTGAAAGTCCTGTGTGTTAACATGAGTCAAAAGACCCAACCCCCATCGCGATACAATGTTCTGATGCTGAGATATAGCTGTTACAAAATGGTTGCTAGGGTACTCTGTTTGGTTGCTAGGGAGTGGCTTGGCAGCTGCCAATCATGAAACTCCAAAGGCTGCTTGTCAGTATGAATGATATAAACCAACCCCCATCGCGATACAATGTTCTGATGCTGAGATATAGCTGTTACAAAATGGTTGCTAGGGTACTATGTTTGGTTGCTAGGGAGTGGCTTGGCAGCTGCCAATCATGAAACTCCAAAGGCTGCTTGTCAGTATAAATGATATAAACCAACTCCCATGCCTCTGTGACATTCAGAATGGAAGATATCCCTCTTTGGATTTTGGTTGCTAAGGTGCTCGACAATGGTTGCTAGGGCGTGGCTAGGAAGTGTTGAGGTCATTCATGATTGGCTGTTTGCTACCCCGAGTCAAACGAGACCACCCTCGTGTTTCTATGACACTTCTATCCGGAGATATCCCTTCCATCTCTTTCAATGGAAGTCTATGGAACTTGTTGCTAAGGTGCTCTAAATGGTTGCTAGGGCGTGGCTTAAAAGCTTAACAATGATCCTGAGAGACTGATTGGTCATCTGAGTAAAATGAGCCCGCCCCTTTGTCTCTACGACACTGTGATCCAGAGTTATGTTCAATATAAAAGCGGTTTCTATGGTGTAGGACGGCCCATTTCATGGGCCGTCCTACACCATAGTAAGTCAATGGGGCAAATTTGGGCAGCTCCTGCCCCACAGGGGTGCAACTTTTACCCCATTGTGTGGTATATTCTTACAGAGCCTGTCAGCCTCTTCAAATGTGGTAAATTACACGTTTCTGCGACATCCTCGTTCCGAGCTACGACTCGTCAAAGTTTGACGCAATGTTAAGTCTATGGGATTTTTCGGCCGGTTTTTCGCCCCTGGGGCGAACATCGTACCCCCGATCCCTTATAAAAGTCATAGCACACCATTCCCGAACAGGCCGCACGTTTTGACACCTCATTCATGGGTCTGTGACAAAAACTGCGGGAGGAGTAGCGCGTCAAAAAGTGGCCAGAAGAATAAGAAGAATAAGAAGAACTAGAATGTACATTTCCAGAAGAAAATGTGAAGTGGTGCTTGCAGTGGCAAAACTCGCCGCTCGGTTGCTAACGTGCGGTTAGCTAGTTTTTACTAAGATGCTAGCATGATTAGCATTTTGCTAGCATGATGCTAGCATGATTAGCATGTTGCTAGCATGATGCTAGCAAGATTAGCATGTTGCTAGCATGATGATTAGCATGTTGCTAGCATGATGCTAGCATGATTAGCATTTTGCTAGCATGTTGCTAGCATGATTAGCATGTTGCTAGCATGATGCTAGCATGATTAGCATGTTGCTAGCATGATGATTAGCATGTTGCTAGCATGATGCTAGCATGATTAGCATTTTGCTAGCATGTTGCTAGCATGATTAGCATGTTGCTAGCATGATGCTAGCATGATTAGCATGTTGTTAGCATCATGCTAGCATGATTAGCATGTTGTTAGCATCATGCTACCAACATGCTAGCATGATTAGCATGTTGCTAGCAAAAATAAGCATGTTGCAAACATGTTTTAGGTAGATGCTAGCATGATTAGCATATTGCTAGCATGATGCTATCATGTTTAGCATGTTGCTAGCATGATGCTAGCATGGTTGCTAAGGTGTTACTAGGTGGTTGCTAGGGTATTATGGGTGGTTGCTAGGGCGTTGCTAGGCGGTTGCTAGGGTTTTTGGCTGGTTGCTATGGTGTTGCTAGGCGGTTGCTAGGGTGTTCTGGGTGGTTGCTAGGGTGTTGCTAGGCGGTTGCTAGGGTGTTCTGAGTGGTTGCTAGGCGGTTTCTAGGGTATTCTGGGTGG